AGAATAAAGGGGGTTAGGGTTAGGTCAATATGTACTGTTAGAAACTGTTATTTTACTATATGGAAATTAATCTTATTATTTATTAACTAGTGATTACAAATGCAAATTGTTAAAAGTAAATGAAGGGGGGGAGTAATTCTTGCAACTAGTGCTCATCAGTAAAACCTACTTTTGCCAAGTAATCAGCCAGGCGGTCGTTGAGGTCCTGCATGGTTGCCTTCCCATCTCCGACTACAGAAGTCTCTCCATACGAGCCCACGGACCCTAAAGAGAAGACAGAGTTGGACCTTGAGATGCGGGTCCCATAACCTCCAGCTCCGCCATGCACACTGGGTGTGTAGCCAACAGAGGACGTGCTACTCTGCTTCCATCCGCCCAGGCTGCTGGAACTGTAGGTTCTCTGCTTAACGCTGTAGCTGCTGTGCTGGGTCAAAGAGGCTGCCATGGTGACAGGAGGTTGTCGTGATGCGAGGCTGATGGTGAGCACAGAAGGAATGTCTCCGAGGTGTGATCCTGCAAGACACAGCAGGGTATTTTATAGGGTTCTTAGTGAGGGGGGCAGTCTCAAATGCCATGCAACAACAACAGCGTGGTATGCAGATAATAGTTTTTGTTGTCTTTGTTTTTGTTTCCATCGATTGGGTGTGTAAGTCTTCATTAGACAAACTTTGATGAAAGACAAGTGGAACATCTAGTCAGACAGCTTAACTGATAACTATGCTGAAATCCAGCCAAAACCTAAGATGTGGCTAATTATTTCTTCTTAACTCATTACACTTCCTACTCGTTACTTTGTGGGGCACAGATGAATGCTAAGATGATTTTAAGTGAGTTACCCAAAAGAAGCTGAAAAGACAACAAACAAGAGTAAAATATTTATATAAAAATGGGGGGAGAAGGTATTTGGATTGGTATGATCAGTTTCTTTTTTTTTAAATTAATTTCACTGCATTTGATAGTTAAGTTTTTTTTTCTCTAAAATGCAAGTCAGCAGGTGCATCATGGCAGGTAGCGTGATCAACTTTTTCATGTTCACCCTGACTGAGAAGGTAAGTTTAACAAAAAGATCACTATCACAACCATATGAGCAGTAATTATGCCTAAGCCAGTGGTATTTGTTAAGCCTTTCTGGGGGTGTAAGACAGCTTCATCTGCACATACCAAACAATGAGTGGTATGTTGGTAACAGTTTTAATACAAACAATTTGCAAAACCAACAAATACGCTCTGTAAAAAACCCAAGAGCTACATCTCAGAGTCTACAGGCCTCAGTTACCTTGAGAAACACTGATGAAAAAGATTAGACAGCACAGTGGAAAGCCTCTTCTCTTTAAAAAGAGCATGGCAGAATAGTTTGGCAATGCAAATCTGCCTCTGAACAAAGCACAAGATTTGTGTAACAATGTACTTTGGACAGACAAGATCAGCGTGGAGATGTCTAAGCATAATGCACGCAATATCAGTACAAACAGCTCATACCAGCTGTCAGGCACAGTGATGCATATCTCAGGGTTTGGGCTTATTTTGCAGTCACAGGACCTGGGCACCCAAATTCCAGACCTTTACCTGACTGAGATGCCAGGAAAGGACCTTAACAGAGCTGTACAAAAGTGTAAGTCAGCAAATCTGAATAAACTGTGTGTGTGTGTGTGTGTGTGTGTGTGTGTGTGTGTGTGTGTGTGTGTGTGTGTGTGTGTGTGTGTGTGTGTATTCTAATATAGTATCTTTAAAATAATAAGTAAACAGCAGAGCTCTGTAATCTGTGTCTGTGTTCTTGTATTATGTTATTAGTCTCTTCTTATCTCAAACTGCACCGGACAAAGACACTTGTGGACAAAATGAAAAGTATTATATGCACGAGGTTTTACATGCACTCATGTGAAAGAAAAAGGATTTAACTATTAGAAACTGGTTCCTCTGCTCAACCACAATTTTGTTTGAGAGGCTAAAGCTATTTTTGTCTGTGAATGGAAAGAAGCAGACAACAACATTAATAGCTGTTGGCACCATAAATGATTTTAAATATACACCCGTCCAAATAGAGCTGTGAACTCTGTTCCAGACCACCACCCCCACCCAAACATACCAAAACAAGACGCTGTCACACCTTTTTCTCTGGAAGCTCAGGTAACATGTGGTCAGAGTAAACCTTTCTGAAGTGACTAACAAGAATCTGAAAATCATTTTAACCTTTGTGGAACACACCCATACTGCTGACATGCATGACTGAGTACACTGTAGTATTTTACATGGCACTATTCAGTGGAACCGACCTTTACATGTATACAGATTTCAGACCTAAATGCCAAATAAGCTTTACCATATTGTTAAAGAGCCTTTAATCAGCCCTCACCACGATTTGTCTTTAAACTTCAACCTTTCTTCAAAACAGTCCTGTTTGGTATTCTTTATTGTGGATTTTACAAAAAAAATTTTTATGGAATATCAGCAAAATTATTCCTTAAACTGCGAGGTCCGATTCTGGGATATATTTGGAATTTCAAAGAGAAAGTTTTATCGGGAAGTTTGGCATTGGAAACACTACTCATGTGTAATGTAAACGTCTTATCATAACCTTTCACCAGCATGACGGAATTTGAAGACACGTACCTGAGACGAGACAAGAGAAAATCAGTGACAGTGACTAAAACCTGCACCAAACATCCGATGCAGCCTCGAGCTAACAGTGTGTGTGGGTATGAATCTGAACTAAATAACAAGTGAAAGGAGCAGTTTGTCAAGAGCAGGTGGTGTCTGTGGACATTATCAGATTTTACTGATGGGTGTGTGTCCCTTTAGTCTGCAGATAACAAAAATGAAATATTTAGACCAGTAATAATCTGTCTAGCAGTGTATTAGAAGATATTAGACTGAGGTTGGATAAAGGTCACATATGCCTTTCTATCAACTTGCAGGCTCGTGTTCTGTATGTATTACAAATTAGTTCTAATACCCTGAGGCAGTTTGTAGATTCATACATTGAAGTACATTTGCTGCTCTCCATTGTGCTGTTATCACTTTTATTGTATAAATCAAAGTAGCGGACAGTCATTCACAGCGGACAGACCACACTTTCACTGCCTGGAAGAAAAATATATGAAGGCTGAGTTTCTACAAGCAGTTGAACATCACACATTATCAGGGGACGCTGGATTCAGAGTAACTGGGACACTTGAAAAAAAATCTATACAGTACTGTATGTAAACAGAGCTAATGTTATCCAAGCAAGTATGACTTTTGCTAAAAGGGTGGTGTGTACGTCATGTGGAAAGTACAGGCTGCAGCATGACAGTAATAAATTATGCACATTTTATATTTGATGTATCACCGTTTAACTTCGCTTTTTAAACATATGTCAAGAAAACGTTTCACAGAAATGTTTACAGCCTGAACATTATGAAGGACATCTGTGTAACGTCTATGTAACTTTCTACTTTTTTTTCTTTAAAGCTGCAGGTAAATACATTCAATCCAAGTATGAATGAATGTGATGTGTTTTGTTTTATAATTGGGGGTAATTTCAATGATGATTCTGATTCATTAAGTGATTTTAGGTATCTTGTTTTCACTTGCTTTACTTTCACTTACATAGTTCATGCTAATATAAATAAATAGCTGTGAATGTGATTGCGAATGGTTGTCTGTCTCTATGTCTTAGCCCTGCGTCAGGCTGATGACTCGTTCAGGGTGTATCGTGACTCTTGACTCCATGGTAGCTGGAATAGGCTCCAGCCCCTCAGCGATTTTTTTAATGATAAATGGAAGAGAATGGATGAAAATATATAAAAAATATGAGGAGTAGCAATGTAAACAACATATAATGTGCAAATTGAAAGACTTGTATAGTATTCTCAATAAATACTACCAGTTAAAAAAAAACTGAAAGAAATGGGACGTTGTTTAAATGTACGTTTCTGTACAGGTACAGGAAACCTGTGTTTCCTCCTCCCTAAAGTTGACTTTTTAACAGTGTCTTTATTGCTACATCAGATTTGTATTGTTTTAAATGGTTTCTAAGGAAATATTGGATTTTCAGTGTAAACACATCGAGTTGTTTTATTGTTATTGCAGTGCAAAAAAGGTCTTAAGTGACAAATATAATGATGTGTTTCTCCATGTAAACTTGCATAATTTCCTTTGCGCACATCCTTTTTCCAATGTATCCATCTCTTAATCAAACGCTCTGTGGTGAACACCATTATCAGTATTTGATTGAAAGCCATTATGTTGACACCAAACTTGGGTATAAAAGAGACAGCCTGCTGGGAATCAGCAGTTGTGCACTGGAGACATCACGCTCATCACACTTTGTTGTGTACATATCTCATCCTATCTTCACAGGTACAGTAAGTTTGCCATTTTTGATACCTAATTTTTTTTAGAATACATCTCATGTTTACTCAAATGTTTCTTTCTTACTGCGCAGAGAGAATGTCAGGGAAAGTTTTCGTGGTATTTGCACTGCTGGTTGCTCTGCTTGTGTCTGGAGCAGCTTCCCCAACTGAAACCGGAGAGACTGAGGAGACAAATGTTCTCAAGCAGCTTCTAGCTAAACATGAGATGGCAAAAGACTCGGCTGGAAGACAGAGGCAAGCACCCCGCACTCACTCTGCACGGGTGGAACGACGGGCGCACCTTTCAGTTGATGAGCGCGAGATAATGACCAAACAAATAATGCAAGCAATTTCAGGTATGCTGCAGACTTGGGTGGGAAAGCTCTGTGATTGTCATCTTGTTTCACTTCAGCTAATTAGAGCAATGTGTGAATAGGCGGAGGTCCAAGACAATGCTCAGATTTGCATACTGAACCCTTTTGTTTGTGGTTCATGTACTGTAGGAATGGTTTGTTCACAGAGCTGATGAACTCCGAGTGCATGACGGATCGGGACTACCAGGGCTGGGTGGATTTTGGCCGCCGGGACACAGAATGAGGCACATCACCACAGCTGGAGAGCTGGTGCACTGCTTTTTTGTTCAGATTTTATAAAAAAAGTGGACGTTTACTTCCCATGCAACTTTCGAAATAAACAGTTTTGCAGATTTATTGCACTTGTTTTTATTCCATATCTTTGGTGATGAGTGGACGAAGAGTCAAAAGTGAACTTGGTGGAAATGAAAACATTTATTCACAGGTGGTACAGTTTACGCACACACTGACATGTAGAGTTACAGCAAACAACAGCGCACAGAAACAGTCGTTTGGTTAATTTAAGTAGAAACACAAATCTCTGTTTATGAATTCTTCCCTTTTAAATCCACATTATCCTGTGGCTTTTTCGCCAGAGCTGATTGATCAATCAGAGTGATGCTGTTTAAATTATCATGATAACTCTTGTACTTATTACATATTACTTATTGCGCCTACTGTCACAGATATCACTCTGAAATGCCCAGCGTGATTTCGGTTAAATTTAAATCCCAGTGGTTTAAAAATTCCCGATGACA